TCTTGTTGTCGTCTGGCTTCTTGGTCTTGTTTTTCTTGTTGTCTTCTAGCCTCTTCTTGTTGTCGTCTGGCTTCCTCGTCTTATTTTTCTTGTTGTCGTCTGGCTTCTTCGTCTTGTTTTTCTTGTTGTCGTTTGGTCTCTTGAAGTTCAAACTTTTTGTTCGTCCATTTTGGCTTGTTATCTTGTGATAGGCATATACAGAATGTTCTAGAATTTCCCTCAAACTTTCTTCAAATATCTTTTCTGGTCTTTGCTCGAAGTTCCAAACACGCCGGTGAAGTCACAAATTGGATAACTTACTTTATTCTAGAATAGAATGTTCTGGAATTTTCTTGAAATTTCTTTTCTAGATGTCGATTGATACAGCAAACACGTCGGTGAAGTCACAATTTCGATATCTCCCTTGGTTTCCAAATAGAATGTTCTAGAATTTTCCCGAAACTCCTCGAAAAACTTCTTCTGAATTACGATTGATGTTTTGAATACGTCGGCGAAGTCACAAATTCGATATCTCCCTTAGTTTCCAAATAGAATAGAATTTTCTAGAACTCACTCGAAGATTCACTATCACAGTCAAATTCGGGTATAGTCACTTCCGGAGTAATTTACACGATCGGTTAAGTCTCTTTTTGTGATTGTCACTGTTTGCACTGAATAACTGTCCCAGTGTTCAGTTCAGTTCACTAAGTGTAGAGTTTTTACACTACACTAGTGTCCTCGCACTTCCGCAATTGGATTTCACTCTGCAGTCCTTTATATCCTACTTCTGACACCAATTGTCACGGCTTTGGATTTTGCCTGACACTTGGGTTCGTTGTTCGTTTCGTTTATTCCAAAAATCAAAGTCCAATTAACACAGCAATAATTTATTCCACTTAACAATACACTCTGACACTAATTACTTTAATAACTAACTCAACAATTAAACTCTTACAACTCGCAATAATCACTATTTAAATCGTATCACAGTCAAACTGAAAACTTAAAACTACAAAGCAATAGCGGCCTTTTATATATCCCTAAATCTATTCCTGTAAAATCTAGAACACACGCGATAACTCCCCTTTTCTCGATTAAGTAGAATTTACCAGATTAATAGGAATCTGCAATTTCTAGGGAATTCGACAGCCCATTCTTGACACACTGGCGGCCGTCACAATATGGTGAATAATCATTTGTTGTTTTTATGCTCATGTCATCTCAAAGCAATTGATAGTTTGGAGGGTGATAGGAAGTTTTGGAGAGATTTTTTCACCTGATCAAGATCCTCTTTCACTCTCTTCATTGGAGTTCCACAGACGCTTTAGGATATTTCTTTGTAATTAAAATGAATCAAACGCTTTTTAAGAAGTCGACGATAAGTGACTTTATACTATTTTCAATGAGCAATTTGATTATGAGATGGTGGTCGTTGGTTCCAGAGTAATATGTATGAAAGTAGACTTATGTGTTCGTAATAGGATATTTTTTGATTCTGATGGTTTTTCTCTTGTGAAAGATAATAATTTAAGCTGTGTTACTGCTTCTAAGAGACACAGGTTATAAAGAATAATAAAGGTATTTCTGACTGAGCTTCTGGCTTGCCTAGGTTTATTCTGATGCCATCATCTCCCAAAAGAATTTCTTGACTACATATGTCATTTAAGACCTTTTTAACGTTCTCTGCTGTTATCTCTGGAATATCCTAGTTCCTGATTAAAGGCAAATCAAAGTGCTGATTGATGGACTTCGCATCGTAAAGTTCTTTGTAGAAATCTTTCACGGTAACCTGTATTTCCTTTTTATTTTTAGTTGTGATGTTTACGCCTCATCCAACATCTTATCTGATTTATTCATTTCTCTTTAAATGACTATTTCAGATGAGGTGGATATGTGATAAGTATATGATATGTCAGATATGAGTCAGCGATAGACGAATGTAAATAGTAGTCGGCAACACACGCGGATAGACAGATTTGAACCAGCTCAATTACCTCTTTTGGGAAAGCTCCTCTTGCCTCAAGTCTCCTCCCAGTGCAATTATCTCTTTTGGGAAAGCTCCTCTGGGTGTCTTCAGTCTTCGTGTCGTCTATAGTACAATCGCCTCTTTTGGGAAAGCTCCTCTGGATGGCCCTTTTCTTTAGCGAATTGCTCCTAACTTAGCTTTGTGTTTTTCAGGTAGCTCCACTGTGCCCCCAATGAAGAGGCACTATGTATCGTAGGGCCATCCTTTGGTAATTACTATTATAACCTTTACTCTACAATATACCTTAAACTAAATGCCAAGCGAGTCTCTATCCTCCTGACCCTACGCTACGTACCCCGTCACGACAGGATAAAGTTGTGACATTATGATTGAGGATGATCAAATCAGGGAGGCATCAATTTCCTCTTGATGTATAATCCTTTCCACTCTCAATATTGGCAATTTCTAGATTCTGGACCTTTTCTCAGATGACAACTTGGCACTGGACAGTTTCTACCAATGACATCTAAACACAAATAGACACCAAATCTCATTCATCTACTGATGTTTTTTGTGATGACAATAGAACTCCCATGGGTCAGGAGAGGTGAGATGCCCGAGGGGGGTCATGATAGAGATGCATCAGTGGTGTAAACAACACCCGTATTCCCCTCTGAACCCGTCATTCACTTAACCAAAATAATGAAGAAATGCCCACGGGTGCAACTCGTTTATCTATCTATCTGCCTCTAACTCATATGATATAAGTTTGATGGGCGCGTTGACATCCCAGTCGATTGCAGCGTGTGTCGCGCCTGTCGTCTGTCTTCAGAACCGGCGTTGCCAGTAGTTGTTTTCAGTCTTGAATCGCCAACTTTTTGAAGCAAACTCATAACAGGATAAAATACCAATCCGTAGGTTACAATTTAGCAACCAAATTGGAGGGGATACACCGGTGGTGGATCGCTCTCCTAGATGTTGGCGCTGGTCAAAGGCACACTCTATATCTATAAAAGCTGCAAAAGCCTCGGAGTGACTTTTTTATGTCTACTAATATCTACTACTAACGCACGCAGATTTTACATAAGTTTTTGAACATGAACCAAAAGAACTATTAAGAGTTAAGACAAAAATGTTTATACATCAAATTTGCTTGAAGTTCTCAAGCTCTTTCTTATATAACTCCTATCATAATTATTCCTTCATAAGAAGTCTGAATGAATTTCTGTATTGAGTATTCATTCTATCCAATGGATATAGATTGAGTACAATAGTTCAGAAATAATCCAAATTATCATTGACGTAAGTATATTGTGAAGCTTAAATACGAAATGAATTGGTTCGCACCGATTGCACCAAGTAGTTGGTATTTAAAGAAAACCAAAACGGCCATCCATTATGTCCGCCGCACGTCCCGCATACCACCACTGGCCTGGGGATTCAGATTTATTAGTTAATAATGGACATTAATCAGGGGGCATTCCTTCTTCTTTCGGTCATTTGGAGGCATTTTTCTTTGCAACCGTTCGGTTTTGTTGGGTCGCTTGGCGATTATTCAGCGCAGATTTATAGTCGCGGCGGGTATTACGTTTATTTATTGTTCGCGACTGTAACCGTGGAGAGGGCATTACATCTTTTTAAATCCGCGGATATAAGTCATTTTATAGTCGTACTGTGGTACTTTCAAAAAAATATATATAGGTAGATGCACAGAAGTATTCCATGGAAGTTTCCTTTTTATTTTGCGATGGTCTGGGTATACCATTGAGATAGCTACATTTTCCGCATTTTCTTGTTTGCTGTTAGGTTTACCAAATAATTTTCCAGTCTTTAGGCATGAAATTTAACTTGTTCTTATTGTAGAAAAAATAGCTCGTAAATGAATTAGAAATACTTGTAAGCCTGAAATTCTAAAATGCAAAAATAATGAGAACTCAAGAACTTGGAATGGAAAAATTCAAGAGCCAGAAGAAATAAGGAGAAATCAAGAGCCTGAAATAGGGAAGATTATAAAAATTCAAGAATTTGAATTGAAAGAGAAACATTTTCTTGCTGATATTTCCTTATTATATTACTCATTTTATAACAGTCAATTTTTGTCTCCAGGAGCTAAGCTCTTTGAAATAATTCCGAGGTTTTTAAATTGTTCTGAAGCCTTTCAAAATGCTGCTGGAAAATGTTTTGAAACGTTCTAAATAGCTTATCGAAGTTCTAAAGTGTTCTTACTTGCTTTGAAGAGTTCTGGAGTATACCTGGAGATACCAGGACACCAGGGCATAGAGGGCAATGAGGAGGCAAACCGTCTCGCAAAGGAAGGTGCTATAACACCCTTTCAAGGCCCAGAGCCTTTCTGCGGAATAATGAAATGCCATGTGCCTCCGAGGAACTGCACAAATGAGAAAGGGACCGAATGCTGGCTCACGGGAGATCCATCCCGGGTGTGAGACAGGCAAAACGGTTCATATGCAAACAGCATATTTGAACAGCTTCTCAACCTCAGAACATTTAATCTGTGAATGCCCTGCACAACTCTGCAAGAGGCTGAAATACCTTGAAGGGGTACGGCTAACACCCCAAGAGGTGGGCACCTTACCACCCAGAAGCTGGCCTTCTTTGGGAGAAGTCTACAAATCTTGGACACCAACTAGAAGCAGAGTCACGCACAAAATATCTGGACAGGTAGCAGTGCTTGAGCGGCTGGAACTAGCCGTAACGACTCCATATTTGCAATCTACAATCTCTCCGTGCGTATTTGTGATTTCGGTATTTCGATGTCACACAGCTTTTTATAAAAGCTGAACAAACCCCAAACGTCAATAAAGATTTTAAACATAAATCATACAACCAAAAAATCATATTTGCTTATCTAGATCCTCGTGTATATATTGTCTGGGGTCGTGTCCTAGACGGATAAATACATTTCGGTATTAAGTTATAAAACAAATTACAATGCCTTGAAATTTACTGCCTTATTTCTTTTTTTTTTATGCTCTTATCACCAGTTGCTTAACAACTAAGTATAAAAGTTGGAAAATAATATTTGTCTCAATTCAAATCGTTTGAGTTTAATAATTACAAAATATGAGTAAGTTTAAAGCTATAATTAACAGTAAATATATTCTCCATGGGCCTGGCCCTGAACCTGCAGTTCCATTATCAAAAGATACTGTAGGTCAATTTATCCACAAAATACTTCTGAGTGCCCCTAAAAACGCTACAGCAATGGTAAGTATTGGTGCCATATATGCAATAAGATTAACAAGCCTTTTTTTAGATTGATGCACTTACAAATCAATCTTTGAAATACTCGGAGCTGCTTCAAAAATCCATAAACCTTGCACAAGCCTTGAGACACCATGGATACAACAATCCGAAAACAGTTTTAGCTATCCAAAGTGAAAACTCCGTCAACTATTTTGTTCCCATACTAGCCTCATTGTTTAACAGCTCCATTATAGCCCCTTTGAGCCATCTATATAAATCTAATGAGCTAAAGCATGCATTGCAAATAAGTCAACCAAAGTTGTTATTTTGTTCAGAAGATTGCGCCCAAAAAATTGCTGACCTAAAAGATTTGAAGCTAGAGAAAATTCTAGTAATGGTAATAGCAAAACCTAATCTCAAAGCTTCTAGCACATAATTTCTTATTGTTTCAGAGTAAAACTTCTGGTTTAGCAATGCAAAGTATGGATTCTTTTATACAAGAAGCACTAAACGGCAAAGACCAAAACATACACGAGTTCCAATCAGAGTTTGGAATTAGTAGCGAATTGATTGCTTTTATTTTATGTTCAAGTGGTACCACTGGGTTACCAAAAGGTGTCACCTTATCACACCTAAATGTAATGACCCGTCTAGCACAGCAAAAAGATCCTAGGTACTATTCTCAAAACCCTGACCACAAAGTCCTAGGGCTACCACCATTTTTTCATGCCTATGGACTTTCTTTTATCCTTGGATGTATTGCCAATCTTCAAACTATTATTTGTCTTAAAAAATTTGAAGAAGATCTTTACCTGAAAACTATTGAGGATTATAAGATCGACATTGTACCATTGATACCACCATTAGCCAACTTTTTAGCTCAATCTGATAAAGTTTTGAAGTACTACTTGAGCAGTGTTAGTGATATAATTTGCGCAGCGGCACCTTTGAGTTTGGAGACAGAAAGGAACTTGAAAATCAGGTACCGATTCAAAACCGATTTTCTGTTAATATTGCTAATGATTCTCATTTCAGGCTCAATTGCAAATATTTACGTAATTGTCTAGGAATGACAGAAACTACATCAGCAGTAACTTTTATCCAGTTTGGAGAGGACAGAAAGGGTTCTTGTGGCAAACTAGTGCCATTTGTATCTGGAAAAGTCATAGATCCATCTAGTTTGTTAGCTCTAGGACCAAATAAGATAGGAGAGCTTTGTTTTAAGGGTCCTTTGGTTATGAGGGGTTACTATAAGAATCCTGAAGCTACTAAAAATTCATTTACTGAGGATGGGTGGTTGAAATCGGGAGATTTGGGATATTATGACGAAGAGGGATTTTTCTATGTTGTTGATAGACTTAAAGAAGTTATAAAATATAAGGGATATCAGGTGATTATAGGCAACTTTGGCACTATTAAATGCATTTTTGAGCCTTTTAGGTTGCTCCAGCTGAATTAGAGGCTATTCTGATCAACCATCCGAAAATTGCTGATGCAGGAGTGGTAGGAGTTCCAGATAAGGTAGCAGGAGAAGTTCCTTTGGCTTTTGTTGTTAGAAAAGCTGAAACCCATGTTGGTGAAGAGGAAATTATAAAATATGTTGCAGGTATGAAGTTTTTTGTGGTGTGGAAAATGGTATCTAAGTGATTAATGATTTTAGATAAAGTTTCTCCTCAAAAAAGACTCAGAGGGGGAGTGATATTTGTAGAATCTATTCCAAAAAACCCGAGCGGCAAAATTCTCAGGAGAAAATTGAGAAACGCACTTGAAACCCTTAAATCTAAGTTGTGAATTATAAAACAGTTGATCTTATTAGTTTTAACCTGACAGATTAGCTGATTTATTTTTTATAAATTTAAAATCATTTGCGATTTTGAATCCATACGCGCACTCCGGATTATGCTAATTTTCAATTAGAAGTACTCGTTTTTGGGTCGTACGTCCCACCATCAAAATCTGTTATTTGCGCGGAAACAATAAAAAAAATGCAAGGAAATCTTTTATGTGTAAGAATTTGTACCTCTGCCAAATTCTATTAAATTTTCTTGAGAATAAAGACGAAACAAACTTGTTAGGACAAATATTGGAAATCCAGAATTTCAATCGTCTTCAACCAGATTTCAACGCTCACCAGTCCAAAAAAATTGGAACTGCTCCATGGTTTTATAATTAGTTTCTCATTTACACTGTTGTAATTAGTAATATCCTCAAATATATCAGTGATAGCAGCATATTATGTCAATCTCAACAATACGATCGGATCATGAACTCTGAATCATAAATCGTCCAAAGGTACAAAAAAAAAACATCGAAAGGAGACAGATAAGAAAAAAGGAGAATTATTATTGAACGCAAGGCAGGTGCCTGAGTACTTGAAAAAACAAATTTCACTTCAAAGTTTAAAAAAAAGTCAGTCCCGAAAAACAATGAAGTGTGGTAATACATAATCTAAGGGTAATACCTAATGATCCTGTGAGAAAATGTAGTCGGTAATAGAATACTTGATATTCTGGCGAAGTTCCTCCTAAACTTTCTTCCTTATTCTTTTAAATTATTTCACAGATTTTCTGATTTCTTGGCTTTGCCCAGCAAACTTCAAATTTTTCATCATAATCTTGTATACCTACCTATCACGAACTATGGTGATAATGAGTTACTTGTACAGGGTGGCCCGTTTAAGTGGGGATTAAATTAATGGAATTAATGGAATTAACCTCAGAGGAATAGGTATAACACTAAATTTCAAGAAACCTACACATTAGCCCTTTGACAGTCAATTCCAACGATATACTGGACATGACATGTGTATGTGATTTACCGTTTCGATTCGAAACTTTCGAACTTATTAGCGATTATTTGGGGTAATTTTCATCAGTCATTGTTCATTGTTACGCCGTTACTCAAAAACTTTTGAAACTTTTTTTGCATGATATTTTTTATAAAAATGCTCTTCTTTGGACTATGTATATTTTAATTTGAAATATTTGTTTTTCTACTGACGTTTCATAATACGCCTAAAATCTGTTTCATAATGAAGTCCATTATGATACAGATTTTCATTATGATACAGATTTTTCAGCCACTGGAATCGAGTATTTTGAACATGAACAATGTTTATATAAAAATAACAGACTTGCTTTGGAATTCTGGATTGTTTCTATTAGTATTTACCAGAAGAAACAACAAAAAATTAATAATAATCATAATGAACTTCATTATGATACAGATTTTCATTATAATACAGATTTTTAATATTATACAATGTCGATAGATGGCACCACCAGTTAAGATATTAAACATTTTAAACGGTAATTTTGCGTAAAACAATTATTTTAATAACTATAAAAAAGGCTTTGAATTGTTTAAAAGTTATCTAAAGTTTGGGACAAAAAATAATTATTATGGAAATAATGAGTGATAAGGAAGAATTTTTACTTTTTTCATTATTATACATTGTCAATTTTGCCAATCAAGCCGTATGATTGTTTATCCATTTATTTTTTAGATCAGTGCATTACAGATCTAGTGCTATGAAAGCTGCATATATTATAGTGATTTCCATTTACAGAACTAGTGCAAGTAAATTATCTTTAACCTTTTCCTATTTTCGATTTTTACAACCAACATCGATGATAACATCGATATTTTAAAATTTTAACATCGATGTCGGAACATCGAAAAATCGGGTATTAAACATCGATGTTTTTTAATAATCGATGAACATCGCACATCCCTACTCTGCGCTACAGTACAGGAAGCTGTGGTACAGGCTTCGTAGCTTCTATTGTCGGTGTTGGTTTGGTTTTCTTAGCAACTGCTGACCACAAAAAAGATCAAGCTTGGGCTTATGCCCGCCAGATTCGCTCAGGTACTCTTAAATACTTTTCAGCCCGAAGGGACGTGCTGGCTTGGGATGGTAACAATATGGTAATACTTGTGTTGCTACTCTAAATGTAATATCTATCCTAACATTATAGTACATTATAAATCTGTGCTCAAATAATTTTTTCTTGTCGGAAGTGCTGCGCTCTATCAACAGCTTATTGTAATTTTCTATAATATACATACAGGAACTTGCTTTGTTTTAAATTGACAGTGTATAAAATTGAAATTAAACCAATAGAAACCTGTTACGTTATGACAATATCCTTGCGTCATGACGTCATTTTCATTATTGACCTAGGTATTTTTTCATTATTTTCATTATTAACCTAGGGAGAGAAATTCAATTTTTGCCCAGGAAAATAGATTGAATAATGACTATTTCTCAGGTTAGTAGTAAAAAAAATATATTATATTTATCTAGCGTTATTCTGGTGTTCCCTTTCCCTTCCCGTTCTGATTTTCAGGGTGAATAGTCGAGCTACGTAGCGGAGCAAGAGAGGCTTCGTGACATTTGGTGGAGGCGCCGCTTTCCTGGAACACCTTGATGACCTAGCCAAGGGAAACAGTTGTGGGAAACAGTCAGAACCACTCTGAACGACGGAAGGAAGGAAAATCCCCTATAACCTTTCCCTTAACCAATCCAAACCCAACAACAAATTCAAGCGCGCGAAATTCATTCCTTGTCGCCGAGTTCAAAGTAGGACCGTGATAGACGACGTTACGGCAAATATTTCCGAGATAACGGAAGGGTGTGATCAAATTGCATGGAACGTGAATAATAAATCCTATGGGCTTTTGTGGAGGCAAAACTAATACACCTATCATATTTAATATAAATTGAAAAGTATAGTTATAATAATAGTTTTATAATTTACATTGTGCTTTTTATTTAACAAATAAGAATGTGAAGAATGAAATGTGCCGAAACACAAAAATATATTACGAAGATAATAAAATGTACCTATACAAATACAGCAAAATAGATACTTGAGATGTTTACACCAAAAAAAAGTGAGGTGGCGTAGTTACGAGGGTGGGAGAGCTGATGTTTATTACATAAAGAACTTCCAGAAAATCTAGAAAAATAATAAAAACGGAAAATGTTAATTTCACACATTGGTGAGATTGCTCATGAAAACCTCGGACACATTGATTTTTGATTTCAGTTGCCGTTTTTCTGATGGTAATATCATGTATACAGGGTGATCCAGAAACAAGTTGTGACAGCTAACTTTATTTTTTTTAAATGAAAACATTAATTTTTTATTTCATTTCTTATTTCTACGTTACATTCTGAACTTATTTTATGTATCACTAGCTGACCCGGCGAACTTCGTAGCGCCTCTGAATTATTAAATACCTATTAAATGTTGTGTTAACGTATCTATTAGCTGAATTAAATTCAGTTTTTTTTCTGATGGTGAATTTGGCTTTGGTTGAAGAATATTAATGTTTACTCTCTAGATTAGAAGTCACCTAAAATTAAAATTTAACATCATCCCTTTCAAGGCAGCTTGTGGGCATTTTTCTTGTGAAGTGTACCACCAAATAAATAAACTCAGGCACAGGAATGTTCAAAGAAAGTAAAGAAAACAAAAAAAAATCTACAGCGCAGCCCTGTATCACTCTATCTGCACTGCACTACTCCATCTGTTCTACTCTATCTGCACTATTTTATCTGATCTACTATTTCTGCATCACTCTATCTGATCAGAATAGTGGAATAGTTCTGTTCTAAATATCTCCAGTTCCTGAGCAGCATGGTACTACTGCTTCTGCAATGAAATTACCGCGCATCGGTGAGCTTCGTTCTAGGTATCATATATGGCGCCGTATACAAAATGGTTGTGGCGGACTCATAACCTCCCAGCAAACACGAACTGACGGTAAACAATCGGCCGAATGCCTTGAACGATGGGTAAGTGACGGCATCGGCAAAATGCAGTTGGCCCCTTGTGTTTTCGATCATTGAATTCCGGCTGTTGGTATTTGAACGCTGGCATAGCGTCGGGGCTTTTCTATTAATGATTTCAAACTAGACAATTGGTACTATATCACTGGACCGGCAGTTTGCCAATATATGTTTTCCAGCCTCCATAAAAATTTTGAACAGACGTACCGCGCACGCGTTCTTCATGTGTGTTTGCTGCATTGTTGAACCTCTGAACAACATTGACGGCCATTACCTCGTTGGCAACGTATGTTTGTGGCTTCGTTTTTGTACTTTGATTTTGTTCTTGGTCTTGTGCTTTGGGTAATTTCGCAATAATTGTGGAAATAAGTTAGGTATTTTGTTGTTTGTCTTGTCGCGCGAAAAGTCAATTGTTAAATAGATATGACAAAACTTTCCGGCAACAGAGAACTTGGTGAGTATACTTGTAATTAAAATGACGCATGTACATTAAAGAATGTTGTTATTCTTCTTTTCAGATGGAAATGATGGATTTTTTTTTCTATTTTCCAAGTTTATGTGTTAGAAATCAAGTTTATTTCAATTATTTTGTATTTCTTCCAAAAAATTTATTTATTTGTTTCTGTACGCTAATGAAATGTTGCCTTTTTTCCTATAATATTGTAAGTATTGTATTACCTAAATATTAACTATTTTAGAAATTTTTATAAAAATGCATTTTTATTTCTTAGTCATTCTCAAAGATTTAGGAGGAATGTATAACTTATATAATATATCTATGATTTTTACGATAAAACCTAAATTTGTTTGAAATTTTAGTCCTCCAGAAAGGCTTCGATTCCTACGACCAAAAAAAACGAACAGCAGGAAAAAATTGATGTGTCATACCAAGTTGCAGAAAAAGTAAAATTCGATTTTTGGAATTATTTACTAGCATTTTGGTATATAACATTACAACCATGTATAAAGTTATGGCCCTGTGATGAAAATCCATCAAATATACTGTAAAGGACCATAAAATTTGAGGAAGTATACCCAGCGTTGGCTCAATGTAACGATTCGGACATTGAATCAGCCCAACGCTGGTTCATACTGTCGGCCGACTTGCGGCTCGACTGTCGGCCGGGCGGTCATATACGATCTGGACCAGTACCTTTTTCATTTAGTTGGCCAGATGCCTGTTATCCGGCAAAGCGGCATTCGTACGATGCTGGGCCGTAAGAAATGTGTTTGTTGGGCTGGCTCTCTGCCACTCGACACCAGCCGGACGGAGCACTCCGAACAGTCGGCACGGAAGACGGCTGTCAAGGGATGCCTGAGAGGAGAAAGGGAACTTCCCAGATAACACAAAACTACATGAAAGGAGTACTTCAATTGTGCTGTATTTTCGCATTTGCATGTCTGAGAAGTACTTGTGTAAACCACTCAGCCGCTTCTGGGATGTCCAGCCGGCCAGTAAAAAAAAGGCGCAATCATAGAAGCACTGCAGTTACGCACTTCCAACATGGAGTGCTCTAAGTGCTTCAAATGTGCGTTGGAAGTATTTGCGAAATGCTTCATTAGCACTTTTCCGACAGAGAAAAAGCACCACTAGAACATCTTTTTTGGTAAATTTATATTGTAAGTACTCCTAAAGTACTTCATTGAAGTATTTTTTGAGTACATTTTTTATTTCACTGATAGCCATTGCAAATAAAAAACAAACATTGTGGAATTATGATATTTTAATAAATAACCATAGGAAACATAAATAAAAAAATAAAATAAAATATATGTATATTAATTTCGTCTGAATAATCTTCTTCGCTTTCTCTGGTACCTAAAAAAGAAATTATACCTAAATTAAAATCTCTTACACAGAGGGCACCAAATAAAATAAGTTTTATGGGGTTTTTGCAAACTGTAAAAGTACAGGGAGTGGCTCAAATAAGAAAATAAGTTGCGCAATTAAAGGCCTATTGATTCATACATATCGATGTCGTTTTGGGGATGACAGAACTCAAATTTGGCAGCCTCGTCGAGTACCTATAGGGAAAAGGTTGCTCTAATAAAGTGAACTTATTTTGCAATATCTTGTCGAAAAGGCTCTAAAAAGAATTGAATCGATTTTGCAGAATTTCGTTAATTAAACAGTGAAAACACAACACACCCGTCACCCACCACGCATGCATTAGCACCTACAATCACCACATACAGCACAGAACAAAATTGCTTGGATTAACCCCTAACTAATATTTGATAATTACTCACTTACCCTTTGGAACTCATTATTCTTCCAGTGAAACCGAAAACACGCACAAGAACCCAAACACGAAACTAAATGACCTAAAAATCTAAACATTAAAAATGGCGCAATGGCGGCAGCCGGCAGCTTCGGCTCAGGCTTCCTTGCTTCAGCTTGCCTTCTTGCCGTTTCCTTATCCCTTTCCTTTCCACATTTGATATCTGTGGTGGGGGGTGCACCTCTGTAGTACACCACCTGCACGATCGGAGTACCTCTAAATCTGTAATTAATCACTGCCGACTGCAGGCACTCCAGGCAGCGCATGTAGAGCACTCAGAGCAGACTCTACTCTCTCTGGTATCTTGGTAAGTGTTCAGGGAGTGCTGTTAGTGTACCGCTAATTCGCACACTAAAATAATGCGGTTTTGCAGTGGTTTTGCTGCACTTCACAGATCATTCAATTTAAAAGTTGAAATAAGAGCATTTTTTCGATGCTGCTAGCTTACTTCGATTTAGTTTGTTTTATTATACGCACTTTTAACATACTTCTGAAGCATTACCATTGAAATGCTATTTTCTCTGAAGTCGGCCGGAACTTTTCGAGCACATTGACGCACATTGTGTTATCTGGGTTAGCCACAGAACGTCAATGGTCAAGCGTCAAGAAATGACAGAGAGACCAGTTCGCGCTCTTTCGGAATGAACGAACCAACAACAAAATAAAATACACAATTAAAACATTGTCATTTTATTTATTTTTGGACATTTTTACTGTGAAGAACAATTAAAAATAAAGTGCTTTCCTCAAATTGTTTTTGTGCAAAGTGTGTGACAATAAAATCCACATGGTTTGCAATGAAAATGTGACGGTAAACTTGGTATCGGTTATAAGAGATGGCGCCGTATGCGGGCTTACTGAGTTTTTTTCATAAATAAGTAAAATAGATGAAAATTTTTTTGTTTTTTTTTTTTGGATTTTTTCGATTTATTATGTTAGGATGGACCACGGATGGACAAAGACAAATCGAATAAAGCAAAAATCATAAAAATCAGTCCAGCCGTTCTCGAGTTATAAGCGCTTCCACACCAACACAACTGTGTTTTATATATATAGATGTCCTATACCTATCTTCAACTGTTTCGGAAATAACAGTTTGAAATTTACTTTTTTGCAACTTTGATAGGCTGTAAAACCTGAACGGTGGATTTTAGAGCTAAACCGATCATACATTCTTGTCTTAGTTTTCCATGAACTATCATTTAACATCAACTTTGAATTTTACCGGAATTTTTAAACTTGGATTAATTTCCAAGCTGGTGTCAAATGATAGTTTATGGAAAAATAAGACAAGAATGTATGATCGGCTTTGCTCTAAAATAAACCGTTCAGGTTGTACAGGCTGTACAGCCTGTCAAAGTTGCAAAAAAGTCAATTTTCAACTGTCAGATTTCCGAAACAGTTCAAGATAGGTATAGGACATGAGGCATAGAATATGTTTAGAATTTAACGTAGAATTTTAAAATAGAATAAGAAATCGGTGTCATTTGAAAAAATAAAGTTAGCTGTCATAACTTCTTTGTGGGTCACCCTGTATACATGATATTATCATATAATATCACAAGAGAAACAATTTTGTCGGCAAAATTTTCGAAAGGTATGAAAACTTCTTGCTTGGCAATTTCGCGAATGACATTTTTGACAATTTTACGATTTTATCAAAAATGTCATGAGCGAAATTGCCGAAAACCAACAAACTTGAATAAAACCTTGAGAACAATTTTGCCTACACAATTTTTTCTCGAGTGGTATTCGTCATAACTATTTCACGTAAGATTTTGAAAATAAATAGAATGCAAAAATATGAATAAAAACTTCAAATTAAAAATATCAGTTTGACAATGTCAAAAAATGGTCGTTGAAATACCACGTTGTTGGTATTGTCCAGGTAGCAGTATTGTAGCTGAAAACCGAATTTATTGCCGGTGTAATACACTCTAGTGAAATAGTCAATAGTAATATAACAAGTGCAATGGAAATTATCGATAATTTTTGAGAAATTTGCCCGAATGCATTTTTAGTTAAAAACGCATG